TTGTATTTAAGTTATTTTCTTTTTATACATCTATAGGTATTGTAATCTTTTCTTATTAAGCCGGATGAGGATTAGCCCTTTCGGCAAGTATTAACTTATACCTCTAATTATGCCTAAATACGCGACGTGTGCGCCGATGATAATTTTAACGGCGCCGGCGTATATTATTATAACTTTAAAGAATAAATATTTTATAATTTTTTACACATTAACCTACATATAATAAAAGAGCAATAAATAAATATAAAGAAATATATAATATATATTTTATAGTTTTATAATATTTATATATTTATATAATAAGTATATATTTTATAATTTTATAGCTATTTATGTTTATATGTTTTATAGTTTTTATATGTATGTTATACTTTTATAGGTATGTTAACTTTTATACTATAATTATATTAAAAAAATTTTGATAAATCCTAGTATATTATAATACAAATATAAAAATTTTTAATATTTGTTTTTAATTTTAACACATAAAAGTGCAACAAATAATAAAATGTGTTTTTACTTCTAAAATAGTGTATTGAATCATTGATAGTTCTGAAAAATGTAAAGTAAGTTTTAAAAAACTACAACTTGATAATATTATTTATCTACTCCTACATTGACGAGCTGTCACTTTATGGCGTTTTATTGACGGGCTGAAGTTAACAACAGTGGCTTTTCGACATTTTACGTCACGGGCTGAAGTAAGCTTTATTATAAATTGGGAAAAAGTGAGGTTAATTTCGTATGACAGTTGGCAGATGTCAAAATTTTAACAAATAAAATTGGCTTTAAATTCTGTTTTGTGTTCGTCGTAGATAAAGTATAGTATGCAACTCGTTTATAAACTTCTCTAGACACTCGTTTTTATTAAACACTCGCTCGCATACTTCGCTCGTGCTTAATTAAACTCGTAACTAAAATGGCGTTTATAAAACTTGATACATAATATACTATTATAGCCTAAAAAGTTCTTATTAAAAGTTTTTTCATAGAATAAATGTTTATAAAACTATACAAAAATATATCAAAAAATAACGATTTAATAAAAATACTGTTAAATATGTAAAATACCCAAAATAATTAATTCAATACGAGCAGGTAGTAAATTCTAAATATAGACATATTTTTAAATAAATCCCTAAGAGGCAGATGTAGACACTCGTTTTTATTAAACACTCGCTCGCAAGCTTCGCTCGTGCTTAATTAAACTCGTAACTAAAATGGCGTTTATAAAACTTGATACATAATATACTATTATAGCCTAAAAAGTTCTTATTAAAAGTTTTTTCATAGAATAAATGTTTATAAAACTATACAAAAATATATCAAAAAATAACGATTTAATAAAAATACTGTTAAATATGTAAAATACCCAAAATAATTAATTCAATACGAGCAGGTAGTAAATTCTAAATATAGACATATTTTTAAATAAATCCCTAAGAGGCAGATGTTGACCATTTCCGAATGCCTCCGAACAATTACAATGGAGCATTCAAATGGACATTACTTCTTACCTGTACATGTTTATTTATGCAGCTCTGAGCATATGTAATTTTATTTTATTGTGTTTATATTGAAGATAACGGGAACGAGGGCAACTATTATTTGATTAAATTGGGGATGAAAAACGATAACAATTCCGCTTGCTCATTCGGGTCACAAGAGGCCCATTCAGGATGATATGAAAGGATTCTCCATGAACAGGGCAGCATGAAATGAAACCGTACCACCGCATTCCACGAATCGCTCTTCTTTGCTTTCCTACTTTTTCTTCTCTTTTAACTCGTTACTGCGATTCTCGTACACGAACCATCATTTGTAAAAAACAATCAAGCCCAAAAAATTATACAAAAAAACATAATTTTTTAAATATTTATAATTTTATAAAAATTTATTTATAAAATTTGCATTTAGGACGTTATAGACAATATTTATTCCTCGAAAAATTAATCCGTATTCTTTTGTTCTTCGTTTTTTCTGACTTTTTTTATAACACATTATATAGTATATACAGTGTGACCCATTTGTTTGCGACTCACCCCTGAAAAATCTTTATTTATTGTGCGATTTTAACCGGATTTGTTTTAAAGTATACTTTATCTATATAGTATACTATATAGTATACTATATATATACTTTATCTATAGATCTTGATAAACTGAATTTTTGGAGCAAAAAACGCCATATTTGTACAAAATACAAGGCATTCTATGTCAGTTTTTACGAGTAAATTTTTAAAAATTCATATTAGCGATTTTTTCAAAAAAAATCTAAGCATGGCACCACCCCTCAAAACGACCCTTTACTAGATTTTATTGAAAACTTTTAAGTAGAAAAATGCACAATATTAACTACAAAAATTTGTTGTGTCAAGTTATCTATGAAAAAAACAATGAAATAAAATTAAACTTATAGTAATAGTACCATGTTACAATTAGTTTAATTTTATTTCATGTTTTTTTCATGGACAGAATAAATTTTTGTAGTTGTTATTGTGCACACCAGGGGCGTAGCTACCGCGGTATCAGCCGTATCAACGATTGGATTCGACATGCGTAAGCAAAAAACATATTACCCACATGTTAAAAAAATTGAGGCATGAAATTAAATAAATAAATAATATTATTATTGAATTTATAGTTACTTCGTTTTATTAAATTAAAATTTTCCTGAATACCCTTTTGTTCCAACGTGGCCGTGAACGCATACGAATTGTTTCTGCCCGCACCTTTCCGCTATGCGTTGTCTGCGGCGCAGTCTGCGCATATTGTTCTGTGCTCTGCGCCGCATACTGATTATGCTTTGCGTGTTATTATCATAGGTTATATTAATAGCAAATTATAAATAATTATTAGCGTTACAATTATTTCAAATGACTTGCCTTTTTTTAAAATAGAAACCTTTTAAAAGATGTTGAAGAACGGCAAATTTCTAAAACCAGACCAAATTTTAAAATTTGCCTGTACATAAAAAGCTGTGTATAAATATAGGTATTATTTATAAAATTATAAAAAATTGATAAATGCAAAAAAATGATACGCTAAAAAATTGTTTTTGTTTGCCCGAAATATACTTTGGGCGTGACACCCAGAAATTTTTTTGCCAGTAGCTTTTCCCGTATAAGGGCCCCTACCAGATTTTAGATACGAGGCCCCCTCGAGGCTAGCTACGCTACTGGTGCACACAGTAAAAAAAATCAACTTTAAGCAACACTAATTAGAGTTCACACAGGTCCACACTAAATAGTGTTGTTTTATAACACTACAATTACAGTTAATTTGTAGTGTAATTTTCCCTAAGTAAGCAAGTATGATTTAACACTATAGCACTGGGGATAAAGTAATTTTACACTGTATTAAAAAGTGTTAATTTACCTAAAATCGTGTACTTCTACACTTCCTGGGTAAAATCCTACTTTAGTTCAGTGTAAATTAACACTACTTTGGAAAAGTTTTAATTTTAGAAAGGTACTTTTACTCTTTTAGTGCAAACTTCTAGTGTAAATTAACCCTATTATTTCAGTAAAACCTATTGGTGGTAGTGAATAAAACGAAAAGGTAAATAAAGAGAAACATTTATTTGGAACAAAAATCTATGACCATTATCAAAATCGGTGCCTTTTAAAATATAATTTTATATCAATCAATGTTTTACTGGCTGTCAAAAATGCGTGATCCCATTGGTAGAGAGGCGTCAGGCGGCTGTATGTCGGGGATTTACCACACGTGTACAAATTTTCCATAATATTAATAAAAATGTAGGTATAGGTTAATATAACAACCATTACGTTTGAAAATAAAAAGTAAATCAAGTGTGTATGTATTTATATTATTAATGTTAAAAGTACCCGACCTACTACCGTAAATTATAATTTATCAATAATTATTGATATACAACGTATAATATAGGTCGGGTATGGACATCCTTTTAACATATTGGTATTTATTGAGTATTAAGGCTTAAAGAAAAAGGAAGTATAATACTTACCAAAAAATAAGAATGTCCTCTTATGGATTCACCGTAATTAAAATGCCACACTTCCACTACGCGGTATCTACGGATATGCACTGCATATGTAGATAAGTACCAACCAAACATTTTAAAACGCATTTCGGTTATTACCAGTTTTTTGCCACTATTGGTGTAATTTAACTTTAATTGTGATACAATGTGCACTAGTAGTGTAAAGAAAAAAGAGCTCTCAGTAACATCAAAACAGACAAAGAAATTGGCATGCACTGTAGTGTACATTTTCTCAATATTTAACATATTAAGGGGTAATAAACACTCGCATTAAGTTTTTCTATCCTTTTGATTTATTTTAATAATAAATTGTGTGAATGTACCAATGAATAATGTTCATATTTTTTAAATGTGTTTAATAAAGTTAATAAGCACTAAATGCTACCTACTTTTACACTTACAAATCAACTCTAATATTTTTACCCCTACACAAAAAAAATTACAAGGGCAAAATTTTTTACTGTGCATTTTTCTACTTAAAATTTTGCAATAAAATTTATTATAGGGTCGTTTTGAGGGGGTGGTGAATCCAGTGGCGTGCTTAGATTTTGTTTAAAAAAATCGCTAATATGAATTCTTAAAAATTTACTCAAAATAAAATTTGAAATTTGTCGATAAACTATGGTAAATAATAAATTGCACCAATTAAATTTATATCATATGTATTGGGGGCCCCATTGAGCCGGTAATTAAATATAATGTTTTTGAGTAGCATCGGAGGGACTCGGGAGGGCACTGCCCCGTTGCCCTCCCTGTAGTAGCTGCCACTGCAAACCATATATGGTTTAGACTCACTCTAAGGTGTTAAACCTTAGAGTGAGGTAAACCATATATGTTTACCTTACTCTAAGGTTTGAATACAAACCATTAAACCATTAGGTTAACTAAAATATTCATAATACATCCCTTAACATTGTATGCATTTATACATGCAATTACATTTACACATGGAACTTTATTAATTTTTATTTCAGGTATTTATTTTACATTTTGTTCGGGATATAACGAGGAATTGAAAATAAAAGGCGAACTTCGAAAAGCTTGTTCAAAACGTGGACACATACGACAACCAGAACGACGTGTTAACACAACTACAAGACTAATCGAACTCAGAAAGTTAATGAAATCCGAATTAACTTTGGGAACCTCTGCCATCGACGCGTACATCGTATTTTCAGGAGACGAACATCAGGTATAAAAATCACACTTAGCAAGAACTTCTCAAAAAAAACAAAAGAAAACATGAATACTGCGAGAAACGACTAGGGTGAGTTAGAGCCCCTTAAAAGTCTGTCCCGAAAAATATATAAACTTCCTAAACCTGAAGAGATAATAGTATATTATTATACGAGAGATAATGCAGGCTCGCCAGACGAGAGATTTAAATCATCAATGAGCATAATCTCGAGTGTAATTAATAGATTTTCAAAAATAAATAAATAAAATCTGACATATGTATGTCAAATGGTTAAACTCATTTTTTAACCATTTAAACTCATTTTTTAACAATTTAAAACCCGTATTGGTTCAAAACGTATTGAAATATTGAATATTGAAATCCAACGTAAATAATGAGTTTATTATTCCCGTTGTTATGCGGGGAATTTATAATTTTTTTTTATATTTAATAAAAAAACAATATTATGCAATAATAGTAGATAAATAATTAAATTTGGTATGAATACCCTTATGCCAAACCTACTGTAAATAAAATAAAGTTAAAATTTTGCTCAGGGGCGTCCTAAACATGGTGGGACTTTAAAAAATGTAATCCTAATTTTTTTATTGACTTTTTGTCATTATATACCAACTTTATTAAATAATACAGTTTTTTAGGTATAAAAGAAGTAAAAATGGTAAAAATTTAAAGTTTGTCAATGATCTTGCACAGATATTTTTCTAAAATTTAGAATACCTTATAACTTTAAAATAAAGCGGTTTACATGAACTTTAAAAGATTAAGCCCATTCAGTAACAGACATACATACATGAAGAAACACCCAGTACAAATAATATATATATAGAGGGGCTTTACAGGGGCTTTAGATCACTAAATATTTTAAGAAGTTTTACCACCTTGTAAATTTTTCGACAACCCTTCGTTAACACCATGTATATTTAACTTTTAGAGTGTGGATTGCGACGAATACGATCGAAGAAGAGAATACATTTCAGGGTTCAGTGGTTCCTATGGTGACGCCATAATAACTCAAGAGAAGGCCGTTCTATGGACGGATGGAAGATATCATCTACAAGCAGATGAACAAATAAATTGCGGCTGGCTGCTGATGCGCGAAGGACATAAAAGTATTCCTACTAGAGCACAGTGGCTTAAAGAACAGTTACCATTTGGTGGACGGTATGTGACAATATTGAAAATATCTCAATAAATATTAATAAACAACTGATAAAACCTAAAAAAACACTTTCATTAAAATTATTTACTTTTATAAAATCTGAAAACTCAAATAACACAAGTTTACAAATTCCGGCCAACTTTTGGACCCGAGCAGATTACAATGATTTTTGGCGTTATTTGATGCGCTGAATTCTAATCTTAAATCCGTTTGGCAACATTGGTTCTAGTTTTTCAGTTCTCGCAGGTGAAGGGTAGGTTTTTCATTACTTATCAAGTTGTTTCCAAATTTGTCGTACGCAAAAATCAAAGAAGGAATATTTGTCGGACCTAATATTCGAAAATTAATGACCGACGGAAACTATACAAAATGTTTAACGCCCGATGAAGCGTCAGCATGGACCTCTTTTCGAAGTGTTGTTCACAACTTTCTTGGTAACCGCAAATCCCCAGATTTCAAGCAAATCATCGGCAATTTGTTGCAAAATTACCGCAAGATTGGATCACGGATGTCTCTCAAGATGCATTTCCCCCATTCCCACCTCGATTTTTGCCCTGGAAACTTGGGCGATACGAGCGACGAACAGGGAGAGTGGCTACACCAAGATCTCGCAAACATTAAAAGGAGTTACCAAAAATTTTGGGATGAACGCATGATTAGCGAGTACTGTTAAACTCTAATGCGTGAAACGAATCCAAAACAATATAAAAGACTTAGTTCCACCGCTCTTAATTTATAATTTATTACTTTTAATTGCCATTAAATAAATATAATTGCCCAAGATCGTACAAATTTAATTTATATACTATCTCGAAGACTTGAACCAATCTTAAAAAACGGAGTGAAGATTTGGATTCAGCGCCCCAAGTTACCTTAAAAAGAACTTTTGGTTGCTCAGGTCCAAAACCGTGTATACTTGTGTAATTGTATAACATGAATTGGTCAACGACAAAAAGGTAATAATGATAATACTAATTTAACCTTTAGGATCTAAATTTAGTGTAATAAGAATTTATAATGAAAAGGCCCTTACTTCTAGTTTTTTTGATGTATAAAAAACTAAGTAAGGACCTAATCCTGTTTAACATTGACGTGTTTTTTAAAAAGTGGCCTTAATACAGTTTGGCTCTGGACTCGTGCGCATGGGGGTTTTGTGTATTCAAACCCTTCCCCCTGCAGGGGAACATAACTTAAAAATACATTTTTTTTATAAAATTTTACTTACTATTACTTACTATTTTTTTATGAAATTTTACTTTAGATGCTAAAAAATAACTTAAAAATATATGTATATTGTTTTAATGAAATTTGAGTAGTTAAAAAAATATGTACGTATTAGTTATTTTTTTATTGGGGTTTTAGAGTTGGTGTTGATCCCAGAATCATATCTGAGTATCAGTGGTTGGAGTTGAAAAATGAGTTCTTGGAAGGACATTTAAAACTAGTGGCATTAAACGTAAGTTTAATAGATATAATCTGGAAACCAGAGGAAAGGCCAAAGAGAAGAAATAAGGACGTTTTCGTTTGGGACCTTCAATATGCAGGTGAATAAATTACTTTAGCGAAGTATTTTTAACAAAAAATAACCCAAAAGCTTTTTAGGCAAAAACTACTCAAGAAAACTGTCGGAAGTGCGAGATGAGATGAAAAAAGAGGGCGCGGACGCAATGATCGTTACGGCCTTGGACGAGATCTCGTGGTTGCTGAACATCAAGGGCAGAGACGTGCCCTACAGTCCCTTCGTCAGAAGCTACGTCATTATTGAAAAGTATGACGTATATCTCTACGTAAACCGAAGCCAATTGGTCAGGAACAACGTGACGCAATATCTGCAAGCGCCGATGCCTTTTACTGTCACTGACACCGTCATGTAAGAGAATATCTGCGCAAAAATAAAATATTTGGTTCACTTTAAAAAGTAAACAGCCCATTTATTCAAGATTAATTACAATAAAACGGGGTTCATACAAATAAAATGCAAGATTTGTTTAGAAAATGGTAAATAGTTTAAATTTAATTTTGGATGCTTTATTTTGGGTAAATTAAATGTCCAGCATTCTAAAATTGCTGGATTCTCCGATTTTACTATTTGTTAACTATATTAAAAACTGTTAAAATAAAGTTTCCTGTCGAAAGTAAAAATTTTGGGTTCACAGAATGTTACACAAAACTATGTTGATAAAGATATTAAGCCTAAACTAATTAAAGTTAAGATATTACTGGAATCAGATGAATTAAGGATTGAATATATGTCTAGATTTTTTTTTTTAATTTTTTTATTAATACATTTTTATATTTTTATTTACATTTTAATTCTGCGCCGCGGCCTTAAAAATTTATCTTGTTTCACCTTAAAAATAAGTACAACATGAAATACTTTTTCTATTCACTGCCAAGATCATTTTAAGCTTATCGGCTTCAAAATAAAAAATACAAATTGGCAAAACATTGTTTGGTGGTCTTCTTGTGAATTCTCAAAAACGTTTTTTTGTAGTTTAGTTCTTAAAACCTAAGACTATACTCAGTGGCGGATTTAACGGGCGGCAAATGCGCTGTTGCCGCCTGGGCCCTCCCAACAGAAAAGCTTTGTTGTAAATTTCTTAAAGCATGAATCCTTAAAACTTAGCCGCCTGGGTCTTTTTCCGCCACTGACCATACGAAAGCTACTACACTCAAAAAAAGATGGTAAATATTGATACAAAATATATATATTTTACTGTTTCGCACTAAAGCGGAGGAATACTGAACGGGAAATGTACATTTTCCTTGAAATACATTGGTTTTATACTGTGGCCGAAAAAAGTAATAGACTGATTTTCCCGGTGTAAACTTGGTTTTTACCATGGTGACGTATCAGTGAGGTATCAATAATAATATTGTCAAATCAAGTAGTCATATTAAATATACAGGGTAGCTGTTATCGAAGCTGTTATATTATGTGCCAAACACCTTGGAACATTTTATTGAATCGCACTTAAAAAAATGACGTGATCTGCAAAAACACCGAGACACGGTTAACATTTTTTTCAAAATCTATAGGAATTTTTCATGGGAGGATAATCAAATTTTGTCGTACTGTGTTACAAGTATTACTTTATTATTTTCAGAATAAAGGATTACCAAGACATTTGGCCAGATTTAAGAACGAAATCGCAGAAATACGAGAAAATCTTGGTGCCTACTAAATGCGTTTACAGTGCAGGGGCAAGTCATGCAATTTACACTCATATTCCTGTTAATAAAATCTTGCCTCGCCAATCGCCAATTGTTTATTTAAAAGCAATAAAGAATCCAGTGGAAATTAAAGGAATGAGGCATGCGCAGATTGTAGACGCTGCAGCTTTATGCGATTGTTTGGCATACTTTGAAAAAAGAGTAAGTATAATAGTTATTTGTCCCACACTTAGGTACTTGATTGAGACATTAGAAGCTCAACAAAAAAATTAACCAAGTAATTTATTGTTACTCTAGTTGAACAATGAAAATATTATTCAACACTTATTTCATTTCTTAACTTTAACGGGTATAAATATAAATATTAATTTTATTAGAAACGACGCCTTAGGAAATGTGACTTTTACATAGCAGTCATAGGAAAAATAATGTACCTACATATGTTGTAAAATATATTAATACAAAAATCTTAAAAACTAGAATCTGCTGTAACCGTGGAAAGTTTTAAGTTTGGCAATATAGTGGTTTTAAATTGTTCTGCAATGGGATTTTCAATCTAAAATATTAAATTTAAATTTTGTGCGAAAAAACATATTATTTTATTTAACGCCCGCAAGGATTCCCTGATTGTTCATTTCTTAACTTTAACCCGAGGGCGAAAGGCTAATAAAATTGCCTTTAAATTTCTTGCAGTAGTTAAATAAAATATTATGTGGTCAAAAGAGGAGATTCCACTCGCAAACGCTCAAGGAATTTCCTATTTCTCCCACTAGTCGCACAATATACTATACATAGTCGCCACTTTTATCCGGGACCATTATATTCATTTCTGTCGATTTTGCCGTTATAATTTCAACATCCAGACTTTCTTGACTTAAGTAAATTTGACAACCATCGGTTTTATCAATTGTTATTGTAGGCACTCTACCAAATACCTAAGGATGTAGTATTTTTATTGTATATAAAAATATTACATATCTATAAGGTACCTGCATCTGGACAGATTCACAATTAATAAACTCCACTGTAGAAAGTAGAGAATCAAATACAACACTAGTTTTTTTACAAGAGTCCAGCACAATTGAATTTATTTTTCCTTTTACAGTTAAAAAAGAATCCTTGCAGTCGTACATGTAAACCACGTTATTTAACTGAGCTGAATCTATTATTAAATCCTGATTTCCTCTTTGATGTTCCTTAAAAATATTTTCTTAGGTCTGTTTCAATTAAGAATTGTTAATAATACAATAATCCACTTTTTTCCATCTCTAATGAAGTTCGCAGGTTTAACAAACGATCTTCTAGCTTGGACACTTTCATCATTGGAGTCTCCCGTAGTAATATGTTTAAAATCTAGGAAATATTTTTAGTTTTGTATACCCATATCGACGAGTTTCTGCCAAAGTATCGCAAGCAACATAACTCAAATTTCGGGAATTGAAAACATTTTTTGTTTTAAAGTCTGTTTTAAATTAAATATAGCCTAAAGGATTTATAACAGGTAAATAGCTTATAATTATAGCTATTTACTTGTTATAAAACCTATAGGTTATATATGGTTTAAAACAGACTTTAAAACAAAAAATGTTTTCCATTACCGAAATTTCAGTTATGTTACTTGCGATACTTTGGCAGTAAGTCATCGATATGTAAATATAAGAAACAGTTTATTTATAGCTACCCCAAATCAATCCATTTGCATGAAATCTTTTAACAAATACTTGTAGCTCACTGAGCGTTTCCACCCAAGAATTGACCCATTCAATGTGTTTTTTATCTTTTCCCTTCCAATCATTCAAAACGCGATTGGAGTAAAACTGGCCAGAATCGTTCATGTACTGAACAAAAGGTGCTGGTGCAGGGGTCTAACAAAATATTACTTAAAAAGTATCAAAATATTAAAATATAGCGTGTATTTACTACTATAACCCATCCCAAAGCAGGTATACTTTCACTAATAGCTGATAAATGATTAAAAAATTGCGATGTTCTATTTTTGCCTCTGAATTCTTGAACCTCGCAAATACTATCGCTTGTTGGTTTCAATGAAATCATCAATTCGTGTTCATTTCGAGGTGGAGGGTTTTTACTGACAATTTCAAGGTATTGCAACTGCGCTTGAAAGGCATTTTTCACTAAAATACTTTGTTCTTTAACATCGCCACCAATTTTTTCCGATATGTTAAGAAACTTTGTTAACGGGAGTTGAAGAATTTCACCATAAACGAAAATGCTCATTTTCTAAAATAGGTACGTCACACAACAATGAATTTAGAGTGGAACAATTCAAACATTTTACATTTATAATTCAACTTTAATCCACTTCTATGACATCTTTCATATAATATTACAGGGTGTTTTTTTTAGTTTTCTCTAGGAGATAGTTTCACAGAAATGGACATGGCTAAAATTTTGGACACCTACAGATACGAACAAAATTTAAGTCTGGGAAACAGCTTTAGAACAATAGTTGGATTTGCGTCAAATGCTGCCCAACCCCATTACGAACCAACTGTAAATACAAACTTTAAAATATTTGATAATAGCACTGTGGTCTTGGATTCTGGAGGCCAATATTTTAGTAAGATATACAATGCAGTGTACACGCATGAGTTGTAAAACGACTATTTGTTAACATTTTTAATTAATAGGTACTATAGTATATAAAATATTCACAATTTTATGAGTCACCTCATGTCATGACTTCACGGTTTTTTGCTTATATAGAATTCATGATGCCTTGATGATGAATTATTATTGAATTTATATAAGTACCTAGTAGGTACTAATATGACTTTAATAATACTACCTGCATGCGGACTGCAGTCAATCGGTAAAAAATTTCGATTATTGTCTTTTTTGCATGAATCGTTCAGGCCTTATATTAAAATCCTACCTAAGTACCTCCTGCGGATTGATGTGAAAAATCAATTTTTTTCTCGAAAGTAAATTTTTGAAAATGTACTCAACCCCTACAATTGCGTTCACGTTTTGTATGTATTGTATCTAAAAAGCGTTCTATTGCATTTTGACCCCGATTTTTTTTAACGCAGGACTAGTCGTGCCTTACAGGTAAAAAGTGGTTTAAGCATATCGAAAAAAGCTACAAAATTTATATCAAACTTTTTTCCTACCGTTTAGGAGTTTGCCAAATACTATTTGGGGAAAACTAACAACGTTTTTAGATTTTATTTTGATCGAAAACGTTATATTTTAGTTTATTTAAATAAACCTCAAGGGGTTGACATTCTGTTAAAAGATAGAGCAGTAAGAACTTCGAACTTCTTACTATAAGAAGATATGTAAAAAACGTTTTTTTCAGATACAATAATTATTTAATGTATATTCTCTCAATAATTTACTTTAATATCTACTCTAATACTATTCTAAACGTTTGTAAATAATAATTTTGAGCTCTTAATAATAATTCGTTAAATTTTTTTATTAAAAAAGCATGTAGGTAAATCTTTTTTTCGTTTCATTGAATTATACTCAGCCTCCTAAAGTATCTTATTGGTTCAAAGTTTAATTTCCTTTGAAATTTATGTTTTTTTTGCTGTTAACTGGTAAACGATTGACTTAAGAGACAAAATTATAATTCATTCAGATTTTATCGTATGTAAATCGAATTATAAAGTATCCCGCGGTATACCAATTAATGTTGTTTTCTCTAGGTGGTACCACTGATGTAACTAGAACGCTTCACTTTGGCACACCAACTGAAGATGAAAAAGAAGCGTATACAAGAGTCCTTATAGGAAGCATACAATTGTCGACATTAATTTTTCCCAGTAATATGAGAATGTCCGGTGTTGATGTGTTATCAAGATCGCCTTTATGGGAGGTGGGCTTGGATTATTTACATGAAACCGGACATGGGATTGGCGCATTTTTGGAAGTACACGAATGTAGTTATAAATAATTTATTTTTGAGTAAAAAAATTAAAAAAAAAATATTTTAGCTCCCATTAAGATTCATTATAATTCCGATGTAAGCAGTCAGCAAGAGTTCAAACCAGGATACTTTTTTTCAAATGGTAATGATGTGAAATAAATAGTAGAGGATCCCAAGTAAGGTCGACCTTCACCCATCTGCTTACCAGATGAAAATTATATTTTATCAAATAAAATATGTTTCTGAACATAAACCAATAGGGTTGCCATAAAAAATATGATCAAGGCTAGCTATAATAAATAAAAAATTAAAAAAAAATAATTAATTTTTTAAATTTCACCGACTTGCTTGCCAAATGAACGAAATTCCAATGGAAAGCATACAACATACAGAATATGTAACAGCTAGGTTGCCTACCTTTTTCTGGTCCCTATTACCTGGTTGCTTTGTACAGGGTGATCCCCTATAATGTCGCCCCCCTTTAACTTTTTTATTTTAAGTGTCCCAAAAAATTTAAAAGTTTGGTTATGTAGGTACTAAAAAATACTTTTTTTCTACGTATAAAGAAAATTGGAAAATTGATCAGTATACAGGGAAAAACAAAAAGTTTATTTTTTTTCAATGGATCACCGTATATATGAATTTATTTTTCGATTCCTTGTAAAATTCTGAGCATAATTTATATAACAAACCATATACCTAAATTCAACCGTTTCTGAAATATTAGCATTAGAAATGTCATCATTAAATGTTTTTTTAAACTGTTAGAAATCAAGAAGCCTCAGTATACCAAAATTTTTATTGAAAATAAATTACTATAGTGACATTATGTCAATAAGTGTTGTTAAATAAGTAAAAATGGCGTACTCAGACAGAGAAAAACAAACTATTTCAACTTATTATCTTAAAAATAATTTAAATATTTCAGAAACGGTTGAATTTAGGTACCTATATGGTATGATATATGAAATATGCTTAGAATTTTACAAGGAATCGAAAAATAAATTCATAGGGTGATCCATTGAAAAAAATAAACTTTTTGTTTTCCCTGTATACTTATCAATTTTCCAATTTTCTTTATACGTAGAAAAAAAGTATTTTTTAGTTCCTACATAACCACACTTTTAAATTTTTTGGGACACTTAAAATAAAAAAGTTAAAGGGGGGCGACATTATAGGGGATCACCCTGTACAAAGCAACCAGGTAATAGGGACCAGAAAAAGGTAGGCAACCTAGCTGTTACATATTCTGTATGTTGTATGCTTTCCATTGGAATTTCGTTCATTTGGCAAGCAAGTCGGTGAAATTTAAAAAATTAATTATTTTTTTTTAATTTTTTATTTATTATAGCTAGCCTTGATCATATTTTTTATGGCAACCCTATTGGTTTATGTTCAGAAACATATTTTATTTGATAAAATATAATTTTCATCTGGTAAGCAGATGGGTGAAGGTCGACCTTACTTGGGATCTTAGACTAAAAGTTTTTAGAGAAGTTATGCCGGAAATTTTGGAATAAATTTAACAGTAGATTATTGGTAAAAATAATAGTTTTTAACTCTGTAACTTGGCAGCGAAAACCAATAACTTCATAAGAAAAAAACTATTATGTTTTACTAAGGAATACACTGTTAAATTTGAAATTGATAAACCTAGCGGTCAACGTTAAAATTGTAAAAAAAAGTTGAACGTTTTAGATAAGGTTTTTTTAATTTTATCATGAAAGAACCAAAACATTTGGAAATTCATTTACCGCAATGCTAACTAGCATTCCAATAAGAAAAACAATAGGCTGAGAATTCCAAAGCGCCTACAATAAGGCTGTTTAAAAATTCGAAGGGATAATTTAAAGATTAGTACCTACCTATCTTTGTGGAAAGCATCTTTTTATAGAGAAATGGCCTCCAAGTTGGGGAGCCCAAGAAGGTGTCTTTAATTATTATAATAACCTAAGTAATTATTATTATTATTATTTATTATTATTATTATTTTAACGACAACCATAATTATACGTCTTTTGGGGATATTTAAAAATAAAAATTAATAGGAATTAGGATAAATTTTATTAAATAAACCATAAATTGGGGTCATAGAATTTAGTTATGCATGAAAAGCATTGATATTCCTACTTTTGTTGATTTATTTAATTTAAAGCATAAATCAAAATTAATTTGAAATATAAATTAAAATATTTTTTTTAGAACCTGGTTTATACCGAGAAGGAGAATTTGGCGTAAGACTTGAAAATATATTGGAAGTCATAGAGAAACCTTGGCTTCCACACAGCTCTGGTCACGAATTTTTGGGATTTAAAATCATTACTTTGGTCCCATACGAACCAAAATTAATAAAACTCAGTTTACTCTCCGTTCAACACGTAAGTTTTTTAATTCGATCAATTTATTTGTTTAAATAATTGTTACAGAGAAGGTGGTTAAATCATTATAACGAGCAAGTTAGGATCCACGTGGGCACGGAATTAAAAAGACAAAATAGAATGGAAGGGTTTTATTGGATGATGTCGAAAACTGAACACATTCCAGAATATGGTCACAGTAACATTATTTCCAGCCAACCAGTAATTATATGTTTAGCGAATACGTTTTTGTTTATACTATTTATTATTTAAATAAAATGTAAAATGATTTATATTTTTTTGCTGTTAAAATTAACTCTTTATACCTCTATTTTGGATTTACCCAACTTTTTTTATTTTGAAACAAATTAAAAATTACTGTACTGTACATTATTAGAAAAGATCTGTGTTTAAACCTCAAAATTGTTCAAATTGGCAGTAATTTTCGTGAAACTTTATGTAAATCGGGGTCCTTAATCCAATGGAAAAGGTATCAAGTACCTACATAATATTTTAAATTAATATCATAGATGCCATCAATATTTTCTTAAGGACATAATATTTTTTATTAATTTCGAGGGATGATATAAGTTTTAATCTTTATGATGCAAACATTATTTAGAAGAATGAACTCGCTAAAGTGAATGGCATTTCAAATCAAGCATTTCATTTATGGACAAAAAGAAAAAGTAAATTAAAAACTTAATCAAAAGTAATAATACTTATAAAATATTAAATAAGTTATTGTCTCTATTTTGGATTCATAACAGTAATTCCAAAGCTTCAGCTTACAGGAAGAATTTTGTTCTTAAATTGTGGTCTTAGGCTAATAATGAATGGGTCTAAACTAACCTAAATGCCGTGAAACATGTCTTTATTAGTTCCCTAGCGTGATGGGTCTTTGCCCGAGTCAAAATTTAGATCGTAAATTAAACCTACTTTGACCTACGAAAACTGATTTAAAAACTGTTCAGCCTGTTAACTTTTATTTAGTACTAGAATAACTAAATCAATCTTCATTTGAACCGATTTAAATCGGTTCAAATTTTTAGTCGGATTATAAACCAAGTCGGATTATAAACCAAGTAAATCATTTTATTTCAAAAATAAAATTTCACCATTTCCCTCGTCTTAATTTCCACCAATCACAAACGCGCAATTTTGAATTACAAATGGTTTCTAGGTGGAAAAACGGTATACCCGCGGCAAAATTGATAGCTGTTGTCACCAAAAATGCAATTTATATTTTAATAATTAATTAATTAATTAAGTTTGTAGTATTTTGTGATTAAAATAAGTTACCTATTTTTCAGTTTTCAAATTAATTCCTAAATATTTATTATGTAAGCATGTATAATAGGTAGTATGTTTTGTAAGCTATGCACAGAAAGAAAAACTGTACGTAAAATTAATAAACTGCTGTCGTCAATTTTTTGAACATTAATATTACGTATTGGTGATTATTACAATGATTTTTCATCATAGATTAATAACTAAGTACATTGTAACAATAAACTAGTCAACATTAAACGATAAATGCAAAACATCAAAAATTAATTATTTCCTTCATCAATATAATGTAAAAATTTATTGAATTAACTATTGACGATCATTAAACGATGTTCTTTATCTTTAAAACAATAAATTTTTCGTCATAGATCCATGAACAGCAAAACATAAATAATAATACACTGTCTTCATTGTCCCAACGGTCACTAAACATTGATTTTACGAACTTAACCATTAACTTCTCAAAACGCGCCAAAATTAATGCTACCGTACGCTGATTCAATCAACATAAACATTATTATAACGAATCGCAGTCGTAGAACGAAGGTCATCGCACGGCTTTTGGGTGGGGAATTATTACATGCAATTTTTATCCTTTTTCTATGATTTTTATCTTGTCAGTCTTATAGCGTCAAAAGGATAGTTCCGCGTTTAACCCTAAAACTTTTGTCCTTTTTGGATTATTTTTTAAGTTTTGTACCTACACGGAAAGAAATGGATAGTCGAAAATTTATAGTACACTATTTTTATTAATAGTCACTATAAATTATATTAAAAACAACATACCAAGTTATTAGCACTGACTATAAAAATATTTTAAAATAGAATTGTAACTTTAAATATAATTTTTAGTAAGTAATACACAACAAATATAGTAACATATTCAATTAACTATATTTTATACCATCTTTAACTAAAATAAATTTAGTTACACCAGATTTTAAATTATGGCAGTAATAAATATACGAGATATTGCTTATTACTATAATTATAGTAAAATTAACTCCCTTGTATAGTCAACCACCATGAGTCAACTTTAAACTTGTCTAGTGACGAGCCGATCCTTCATTTGCATTGCATAGCAACAGTGGCAGTGGTAAGAGTAGGTTGTTATTTTGTGGTGCATCGTATTATTTAAATATGTTACAATTTTGGTTTAATTTCAAGTATTTTAATAAGGGAAGTAAATGAATTTATTTATAGATTATGTAAAAAGCTAACATTCACTTACAAAGTTATGAATATGTGATTCTAAATAGTACAAATTAATTTTATAAAAATACCGAATTATTTAGATACTTAAACTTAACTTTTAATTTTATCTTTTGTTCTCTTGTGATAATTAGAGTTTAAGAAAAACTGTTATATTATTTTATTTTTGAAATATTTTTTGTTTTGTTTTAAAATGTGTTACAATTTTGGTTTAATTTCAATTACTTTAAGAAGGGAAGTAAATGAATTTATTTATAGATTATGTAAAAAGCTAACATTCACTGTCATTTACAAATTAATTTTATAAAAATACCGAATTATTTAGATACTTAAACTTAACTTTTAATTTTATATGTTGTTCTCTTATAGAGTCTAAGAAAAAAGTATTTTTAGATATTTTTGGAATATTTTTGTTTTGTTTTAAAATATGTTTGTGGCAATAAATATATAAAATATTTATATGATGCTTTTATTTTATAATTTTATGTATGTTTGTATACAGCTTTACTCTAGAGTGATTCAGAATTGTGAAATTAAATGTCGAGAGATATGGGTAACCCATAATAATAGAAGACATTTGAGTATAAGAACCCATAATGGGTTCTTATACTCAAATGTCTTCTATTATTGCACTGAAGACCTCTTGACATTTCATCCCATGATTCCGAATCACCCTTTATATGTACCAAAAAACTGTTAAATATTACTATAAAAACTAGTTAATATTTATTAAAATTTATAGTAAAACATACCAAATAAAATATAATTTAAAGAAAAAAAATAGTAAATCTTATAAAAAAATATAGTTAAAATTATTATACCAAGATATTTATTACTAATATATTGTTTTTTAAATATTACTATAACATTTTAATAAAAGCTAACATAATATTTTTGTACAAATTACTAGAAGGCATATATTAAAATTAATTATATTCATATATTTAAAAAAATCATACAATATAGTTAAATTTACTAAACAATAATGAAAGATAATTAACATATTTTTATAGTAAATTTTAAAATATCAGATAGCTGTCCCTATATTTATTAAAAATTATAGTATAACTTACTAGATTTATATTAATAATGACTATATATTTCTTTCCGTGTACTATACGAAACCAAGGTGTGTGAGCTTGTGAAGTTATTATAAACAGTTTTGACTTTTTTGGATATTTTATTTTTAAGTTTTAAGTGAATGAGTTTTTAGTTTTTAAAATATACACTTTTTATATTTTAAATAAAATAATTTATATATGTTTTAAAATTATTTATATATTTAATCTTGACTTTTTACAGGAAAGCATGTTTTGGAACTTTTTAGATAGAGCATTTTGCAAACCTCTTTAGAGCCCAAAGGTTCATATTATTTGTAAATTTCTCGTGCAATAAAAAATGTATTCGCCAAAAACGTCTTTATTTTAAAGAAACCCCTTTTGTGATTGATTGCTGGGTAATTTGTATAACATATTTTTTTCCTATTTCTATGTTGCTAAAAAAAATGCACCCACCTGCCCAGTAAACCTTTATTTTAAATAAAAAGGTAAGTAAATTTGGCAAATAATTTTAATTCGTTTTTTTGTAAATTTAAGTAAATCATAAACTAATGCCTTTTTGTTCGTAGTATTAATACTATAGGGGATCATAGATCTATGGTAACTGTTTATTGATTCAATGTAAAATAATCATAAACTAATGTCTACCGTTTATAATAATAATAAAATGCTTTCATATATCTATGTACGTTGTTTATTGATTTAACGTATTAATCATAAACCTATGTCCAACGATCGTTATATTAACAACCGCTGTTCATAGATCCATGCTCATAGATTATTAATTTAACGTACAGCATTCATAAACTGATGTTAACCTGTTTATCGTATTAATTACAGTCAAACATAGATCCATGCTCCTCATTCATTGATTTAAAGTACAGAAGTCGTAACTTGATGAATAAGAAAATTTACGAACGACTGTTCATTGTATTAATAATACCCGTCATCGGCTGAAAATTAATGTTGTCGTTCATTGATTTGATGTACTTTTTTATTAATATCACGTACCTTTTTCGTTCAGTGTGTGTATGCAGAATAACTGTTACTCATGAAATAGTCTTGTCAAATACCATTCGGGCGTCTAATATATATATATATATATATATATAAACATATATATATATATATATATATATATATATATACATCCCGCCTACAATGCTGCGTCAATACATTATGAAATTTGCATTCAATGCTGCGTCAGGTGTAATGCTGCGTCGTATATTGACGCAGCATTACATTTAAGGTTTATTTTACTGGTGACGTCACGACAATCCTACACACCGATTTTAAGGGTGACGCAGCATTGATGGTTTTTTGTAAAATACGTGTATATTGAAGTTTGGCAGTTTGCCGCAAGGGTGCGCTTTTAAATTTGGTGTATATTGAAAAAGTGAATATTTCTTTTAAACTTACGGTAAACCTGCATCAAGTGAAGCTGACAACAATGTACGACGCAGCAACGTGGATAGAATGTACTTAATATTATTCGACACATAAATAATTTAAGATCGTTAAACGAACGCAGCAATGCTGCGTCACATGTGTTAATGTGAATTTTAGAATAATTGTTTGGTAGCCAGTTTGTTTTATAAAATTATTATTGCCAAGTTCCTTTTAATAATTATATCTATAACTTTAAGAATAAAAAAGAGTAAAAATAGTAATATCCAGCCCAGGGATGGGAAACTGACGCAAAAATTGCGTTTATTAAATTTTATACATTGACTATTTAGTAAATGTAGTATGTAGTAAATCACAGAACATAGTAAATTATTGTATAGTAAATGTAGTAGGTAAATTACGTGATTGGTATTTTGGTTGAAATCATGACTGTTAATGAGAATGTAAAATGATTAACACAATAACCTAACTTCTTACTCAAAAAAACGTGGTTTTGTGTTATTCTGTGAGCTGTCTTTTGAGTTTGACCTGTCAAACTTAGAAGTGCTGTGGGCTCTTGTAACTTTGCAGGTTGATATAATTTGTTGTTTTTGTCAAAAGAAATGACTAAATACTAA